CTAGTTCTAAGCTAATTTTACTCACATACGAAGTAGATTTTGCGCCATATGTGGTTTAGCAGTCTATCTTTAGTATCAATGGTTATGAGTGTAGATGAATTAGAAAATATAAGCTTGTCGAATCTAAATTAATATATCCATCCACGCCTTTCCTTGTAAAATGGAAAGTAACACTCTGTTCTGAACTCTCCTCAATGAAGAAATTTAACAGAAGTTCCATAACTTGTAAAATGGAAAGTAACACTCTGTTCTGAACTCTCCTCAATGAAGAAGATGGATTGTATATAAAACATTTTAAAGAATTCATTTGTACAAGAAAATGATAAACAACAATATAGGGAAAATGTTCAATTACCCCTAGACTATAACCGAAACCTCAGAGACACACATTAACTAAACTAAGGTCATATTACCCTTGAACCCATTTTTTTTGTAATTTTGTGGACTTTTTGTCTAACATGGCATCCAAATATCTCTCACACGCCTCAATTGCGTGGAGTCACGGAGTGTGCCACGTAAGACAAAAGGTGTACAAAATTACAAAAAAAATAAGTTCAGAGGTAATAGGACCTTAGTTTAGTTAAAGTGTGTCTCTGGAATTATGGTCATAGTCTAGGGGTACTTGTGTCTTATCCCAAACAATATATAACTCAACTGAAGTGGACAGCTTCTACACTAGCATGCTATTTTCATTTCCATCAAAAAATTCTGCATCCACTGAATTAAAATCTTATTAACTCTGCTTTTCATTTATTCTTGATGATTGACCCAATTATTCTTGAGAATTTCAAGCTCTTCTAAATTGCTGGTTCCGTTCACGAACCCGTTGAAGGGAATCATCCCTGAAGAAATTGGCAAACTTACTGGTGTACTAATTATGAATATGTATAACAATGGTCATATTCCAAAAACCGTCCAAGGCTTGTTGAACCTTCAAGAACTCAACCAAGGTGGCAACAAGATGGAAGGAACTATAACAGATGTTATCTGCAATTTAAAGAATCTTGCTATATTTCAATGTTTCGTCCAATTTATTAAGTGGGCAAGTTCCTATTAATGTTGAAAATTTAAAGGCAGCAATCATATGATCTGTCAAAAAAATGATTTTGATGGTAAGATCTCTAGCAGAACTAAATCTACAAAAAAGTCAAGAAGAAAAAGAGTACTTATTGGTTTATATACTCTCTTGGAGATTGGGTTACTACGTACGTGCATTGGCCATTGGATATGTGGTGTTAAGAATGCGAAAGATAAAAGAAGAACGCAGGTCAAGTAGATGTGTATTCAGTAAAAGGCTTGAAACAATTTCCTATTATGAGTATTATTGTATTCGAGTGTGTTTGGTACGAAGAAAAATGTTTTTCAGCCTCTAGGGAAAATGTTTTCTTGGAAAATAAGTTGGCTTCTAACTTATTTTTTCATGTTTGTTTGGTGGGTGAAAAATATTTTTTTATTTTTGTCCAGAGATTAGAAAATATTTTTTTTATTTTTGTCCACAATTAGAAAATATTTTTTAGAAAAATAATATATGACATGGAGACCAACCCCAATAATCGATCTGGTATCCGACCCCGACACTCGATCCAGGTGTTGATCTCAACATCCAATACAGGCCGACCCATACCCCCGACATGGATCGGATATTTGAACTAGGATCTGACCATGAGCCCGGCCCGAATTAGCGCATGATCCTAAGGCCCAACCCAAGACCTCAAGATTCGACATCCGAACCTGGACACGATCCCGATGAAAGTTATGTAATCCGACTCCCAACCTGACCCCAACATCCAATTCAGGATCCAACTCTTGAACCGGGATCCGACTCCGACACCGACTTAATACCTACCCCCAACTCTGAAACCGACCCCGACCTGAGACTAGACCCCAACCCAAGACCCGATCCTGACTTGAGACCTGACACCCGACTCCCGATTCGACACCTGACTCCTCATCCCAACATCTAACTCGGGATTCAACCTTTAAAAGGAATCTTACTCTGACATCCAATCTCGAGAATCATTTCGGCCTGACATGAGAAATGACCTCGACTCTCTATCCAGAATTTGACTTCGACACCAAACTTGAAACTCCATCTTGACACCTTATTCGGGACCCAACCCAGATATCTGACTTGTGTTTGGCTAGTTCATTTGAAAAGTGCTTTTGATAAACAAATTGTGTTTGGCTGATCTTTTTTTAAAAATTGTTTTTGAGAGTCAAATTACAAAAAAAAGAAGGTAAGTATCAATGTACTTTTAATATTAATAGGAAACAAAAATCTGATATATCCCTCAACTTTGATATTTAGAGGTGATATACCCCTCATTATGAAAGTGCTCATATATACCCTTATCATTATACAAATGTCTCACATATACCCCACCGTTACAAAAGGAGCTCACATATACCCTTCATCTAACGAAAGTGAAAACATTTGTTTTAAATTTATATTTTGACATTAATTTTTTTTAAAAATCATGTGGGGATATATGATCATTCTAGCTAAGTTCAAAGTATATTTTAATTTTTTTCATACATAAATTATTTTTTGATTTCTTTGATTATCATTGTTTGAGTTTCTTATTCTTTTTTTCTTTCGTTCTTTAGTGTAAAGAAAATAATTTAAACTAATTTTTTTGCGGCTATATTGTAATTTACCTTTTGTATTTGTACGAAAAATTGGGCATCTATAATAAATTTTGCAAGAAAATTAGTGAAACATAAATAAATTTGACCATCAAAATAATAAACTTAATTAGTCATTGAAACAAAAAAGACAAAAAAATAAATTATGTGTGAGGGGCATCAAATATAACCACATATGGATTATTTAAAAAAGAATTAAAAAATTAAATTAATTTTTTTTTCACTTTGTTTAGAGGAAAAAGGTATATGTGAGTCATTTGTATAACAATAGGGGAATATATGACCCACTTTCATAACGAGGGGTATATCAGCTCTAATTAGCAAAGTTGAGGCCTGAGGGGTATATCATGCACTTTTCCCATATTAATATTATTTTATAAAGAGAAACTATTTTCAATATCTATTACAAAAAATTTAATGAAAATTTTATTTTAATTAAATTAAAATGTACATATTCTTAAATTTAAAAATCATTCTACAAATTAAACCACTATATACGGAAAATTCACCACAAAAATAAATAAACCCCTTCATATTTTTTACCCTACAAAAATATCATTGTTACCTTTATTTTTAACTCTGTAAAATAAAATGTAAAATAATATATAAAATATAAATAATAATATATCAACATAAAATAATTTTTTTGAATGAAACTTAACCAAACTTATGAGATATGTTAATTAAATAATCGATATATTGGTAAATATTTATATATGAAAGAGATATTTTAGGAAAAATTACGTGGAAAGACCATCCTTAAGACTTAACTACATAAATAATAGCACTTTTTCAGTATTACAAATATGAAAGTTTTTTTTACATATATAACAGTTTAAAGAAGTTGAAAAGATAAATAGATATATTAATTATCTATATTTATTAAATAAAAAAGAGTACGGTTGGTCACACTATTTGGGCAGTTATCAAAGTTTCTATCTCTTATTATTTTTAAATTGTAGGCAATGTGATTTACAACATCTTGGAGTATCTCCTTTTTCATATACAACTGACCTTCTTTAATGTATTTATGAAATCTGTTGTCAATTATACCATCCTCGTCAATTTCTATTTCATCACGGGAGTAGTTTCCATGTATTGGCATAAGTGATTGAGTGAGTTGAAGACGTTGTACCAATTGCATATCCTGGCTAGAATTTGAAGTTGAATTATTAGGAATCGAATTTGACAAAATTTCGTCACAAATTTTCTCCTTCAATGTTATACACAGAGGAAAATCAGTGAAGCAACTTTTTCTCTTCAAATCCAAGTACCATCTCAAACTCCATCGTTGTATATCTTCATTGGAGTATAATTCTGCTTCACGGAATATTTAATTTCAATTGTATCCATAGAAGCATAAATACCAAGTATCTTCGTTATTTCATCAAGAATGGTATCCAAATTCGAACTCTCTTTTAGTGTCAAGCCATCAACTATGAAATTGTTGAAATTGTGTTCATTATCCCATCCACCGCTGTGTTGAACCAAAATTACAATTTTTTCTTCCATGACAGAAATTTAGATTGGTTAATATGTGTATTTTTCAGTTTGAGAAAAAAAAAACTCGTATGCTTTATATGTAGAAGGAAGAGATCATCGATGTAATAGAATTCTTATAGATAAAAGGTAGTTATTGTTAGCATAAATAAAGGAACTGCAGAGTTGTGGTACCTTGAATCTCTACTTTATCTTACCCATGATCTATTCAGAATGTAAAAAAGTTATAGAAGTAAATATTAAATATGTCATAATTGTTATTCACAGGCCATATATATGTAATTATTTATAAAAAAGTGTCTACTTATGTTTTTTTCCCGATATTTTAGTCTTCAAAAAAATAATTTTCTGCTTCTACTTTTTTTTTTTAAGAAACACAATTTTTTAACTTCTTCTCAACGATAGAAAAACTACTTTTATTTTTATTTAAAAACAATTTTAAGAATTTGTCAAAACACTTAATTTTTCAAAAGAAATATTTTTACGCTCCCAACAACAATATCAAACAAACTCTTAGACAAGTTCTATTTATACACACACCTCCAAAGTAAGAAAGACATATACGCTAAAACACTTTGGAGTTGTTTCGTGTCTTGAACTTTGAATATATTTGTCCAAGCATGTCAAGTGAGTGGCTACTATTTAAAAGTGGCTTTTTACTTAAGATATGATGCAGGCTACTATTTAAAGTGGCTATTTACTTAAGATATGATGTAGGCTAAAAGTGGCTAGTTACTTAAACTATGTTGGAGACTACTATTTAAAAGAGGCTATTTACTTAAGCTATGATGTAGGCAACTATTTAAAAGTGGCTATTTACTTAAAATATGTTGGGGGCTACTATTTAAAAGTGGCTATAAACCCTACCAGCAAACGGCGGCACCTACCAAAATCAGAAACCCTAATGGCAGAAAGTGTTGATGGAGAAGACAGAATATCAGAATTGCCTGTGCATATCATTCATCACATCTTATGTCGCACTAACCTCGACCTCAGAGAGGCGGCGATAACTTGTGTTTTATCCAAGAAATGGCACTATTATTGGCTCTCAAGACCTTATTTACTGTTCCGTCAATGTAAAGGCAACAGTTGTATACCCCTGGAAAATTTTGTCAAGTTGATTGATCGACCCCTACGAATCCATGATGAACAAAACTTACATCTTGCAAAATTCTTCCTTGCATATCGGGATCGAGAATTGGATCCTTATTTGGATCATTGGATTGAATCGGCTATTAAAGTCAATGTTTCGGTGCTGGTGATTCATGCTCCGGATATTGATTCGTCGTATTATAGCTTACCTGATGCTGTTTATGATGCGAAAAAGCTCAACACATTGTGGTTAAGCAGGTGCAAGTTTGAATTTGATATTAGCACCACTCATATAAGATTTTGTTCTCTTGTGGCTCTTTTTTTGTATAATGTTCATATTTCAGATGCCCAAATGCAAAGTGTTATAGATAAATGCCCATCCATCAGGAATATAAGAGTACTGGCTTGCAAAGGTATGAGCAAATTGTATGTTGTTGGACGGTTACATCTACACTCTTTGGCTGTACTATTATGCAAACTCGATAGTGTGATTGTCCAAGCTCCGAAACTTGAATCCTTTAGTTATTCAGAATGTATTGATCAGGGAAATTTTCATCCTTGCAAAATTGATATTTTGGATGGTAACAATACTTTACAAACACTCGAGCTCACTGGTTCCAGCATCACAGACCAACAGTTTCGAGATGTATTCCACAAGTTCCCAAACATTTCAGTGTTGCATCTAACAAGATGTTATAAGCTGAAACATATAGAGATTCAGAGTGAAAAACTCAACAAAGTCACCTTATCGAAGTTGGAGAGTATAGAAAAAATCATTATTCAAGCTCCAAATTTATCGCAATTTGATTTTGAGGGTGATAAAATGCCCTTCTTATCTATGGATTCTTCTGCCCTGGAAAGATCCCGACTCAATTTCTTCTTGCCGAGGACAGTAATATCAAACTTTGGAGATGTGGATAGCAGTTGGTACACAAACCTTAATCACTTTGTTCAAAACTTCAACTATTCTAAAGGTTTGATGTTAGTAATATTTTGCCGCAAGGTACTTTCCATTCTTTTTGTGCCATTGATTTGTGCATTACTTGTTGAATTTAGTTTTAAGCTATGTCATTGGCAAAATTCTTGCAGACCAAAAACATCCTTATTTATGAAAATCCAAGAGAAATTCTTATTCCTCCATGTCATAATGTCGAGATATTCATTGTACCCATCCTGAGCATTGAATTGATCATTGGATCGATATTGTTCAACCGTCCCAGCATCATGTCCATACTTCCATGTACAGACAGCAAAGTACTCCAGGTAATTTCTTGCTTTACCTGTAAATCCTTTCAAAAAAACGCCCCTTGTGCTTGTAGACACTAATGCAGTAGAGCTTAAGCATTATTGTATTCTCTATATCGTATGTTTTTGTTTAAATACAGGTGTTGCCTGCATTAGAGCGGTGTACACAAGATCAAAATTGTGGTAAAGAATGTCCATTCAGTACCAGGTTTTTCCACAAGCATCGTATATTAGAAGAAATCATCAGCTGTACTGGGACATCTGAGGAGGAAATGACCTCCATTTGGTATACCTGGTTGAAATCTACGTCTCTAATTGGCAAAGTGAATAATTTCATGTTCAAATGGAAAGAACAAGCTTAGACCGAAGAATCTTGGGGAATTCAGCATATAGTGTTTATTAGTGTGTTCAGAATAAAGTTCAGTTAACCCGCTTGTGGCTCTGTCAAATCCATGAAAGGTTCCCTAACCTTGCTCTAGCTCTAAATAAATTGTGCTCAAATCTGTGGTTTAATTTCATTTGTTCGATTGTACGGAATGAAGTTTAACTGTTAACAAACAGCATAAGAGGTCTTCATTTCATTATTATTTTTCTGGCTCTGCCTCTTCTTCACATTCCATTCAATTTCTCTCATGCTTAGACTACTTGGAGGTGATTAAAAAGAAGTGAGCACTTGAGGTAGAGAGATGTAATGATGGATGCATATGCCTCCTACTTGTTCTGAAATCTGGTATATATTCACTGTCATACTTGAAATGTAATATGATTTTTCGTATAACTTTCTTTGTCATCTGATTTATCATTATCAAGATTTTCAATTATTAGCTTCCACAGACTCTTCAAAAATATCAATGGGTATGTGTTGGATTTGCCAAAAATAGTGTATTTTTGGAGAATCTGACACGGATCAACACCTCACATTCTTTATGAGAACTTCTAAACACATCCTCCAATTGCACATTGAATACCTTTGCTGTCAAAAAGGGCACCATCCTTAAATATCCCTTTGTGTAGACCATGTCGAAACTCCCATTACCAAGCAAGTTGCTTTTGTTGTATTTTTTTCTCTTTGACCTCTTGGGAGATTTGATTACGCATGGTGAAACATGAAACTCAGAATCACCACAGAGTGCATAATTCGACAAGAAAAATTTACTTGTGGCATCTGCAAAAGGATCACCACTCCACCAGTGGGAATCTGTCCACTGAGTCTTAATAACTTCAGAATTTCACCACTAAGATTGTTATTGCACAAATCAAAGATCCTTAATGAAGCCAGTGGAGTGCTTTTGGTTAAGAGTACTGTAGTAATTTTTAGTACTACAAGTTGTATTAGTGAAAGTCAGGTTAACAGTCCTTTCAAAATCTTTCTCATTCCATTTTCATCGCATCAATGTCTTCTACTTGAAGTTTGAATAGACGATAGTAGGCATCCTTTGTGACAATTTGCGTCCTACGTGTCTTATACCACATAGGACTCATGTGTCAAAGCTTCTTTTAGATTTTATTTAGTCAAATTTCAATGTACCAACAAAAAAAGAACAAGAAACAATTTTCTTGGAAGTCAATAAAAGATTGAACTTTGAATTTTAGAAAGTAGGTATATGAATTGTTCATGGCTTCCCATTATCTCAAGACCTTAGTGGAACAGCATTAACCAATAAAGGGAGGAAATCTCTGATCTGTTTGGATGATTTTGAGAGGACATCCAAATAACCATCTTAGTTAAGCTATATAAACTCCTAGTTCCTCCATTCTAAAACACACAAGATAAAGAAAAATATAACCATCTAGCCTTAAAATACAAATCTTCTCAATGGGAAGCCAATTGAAGAAGCAATGGCCTCAATTTGCTTGTGCTTTGGCATTTTTCTTGATTGCCACATGCACTATGGCATATTCTCCATATTCTTCTGAATCAACAGATTCTACATACAATAAAGTACCAAGCACAGTAGCTAAAAGTGAAGACTACAAGGTACCCTTAGTGCCTAAACAAGAATACAAGGTACCTTCTTTGGCAAAGAATGACTACTACAAGAAGCCATCAGTTCCAGAAGTGTCATTTGTTCCAGAGGTACCCTCAGTGCCTAAACAGGAATATAAGGTGCCTTCTTTGCCAAAGAATGACTACTACAAAAAACCATCAGTTCCAGAAGATAACTATAAGAAGATGCCATCAATTTCAAAAGATAACGACTACAAGGTACCATCGGTGCCTAAACAGGAATACAAGGTGTCTTATTTACCAAAGAATGACTACTACAAGAAGCCATCAATTGCAGAAGATAACTATAAGAAGGTGTCATCTTTTCCAGAGGTACCCTCAGTGCCTAAACATGAATACAAGGTGCCTTTTTTGCCAAAGAATGACTACTACAAGAAGCCATCAGTTCCAGAGTATAACTACAAGGTCTCATCTGTTCCAGAGGTACCCTCAATACCTAAACAGGAATATAAGGTGCCTTCTTTTCCAAAGAATGACTACTACAAGAAGCCATCAGTTTCAGAAGATAACTATGAGAAGGTGCCATCAGTTTCAAAAGATATTGACTACAAGGTACCCTCAATGCCTAACCAAGAATACAAGGTGCCTTCTTTGCCAAAGAATGACTACTACAAAAAGTCATCAGTTCCAGAAGATAACTACAAGAAGGTGCCATTAGTTCCAGAGGTACCCTCAGTGCCTAAACAGGAATATAAGGTGTCTTCTTTGCCAAAGAATGACTACTACAAGAAGCCATCAATTCCAGAAAATAACTATGAGAAGGTGCCATCAGTTTCAAAAGATAATGACTACAAGGTACCCTCAATGCCTAAACAAGAATACAAGGTGCCTTCTTTGTCAAAGAATGACTACTACAAGAAACCATCAGTTCCAGAAGATAACTACAAGAAGGTGCCCTCAGTTCCTAAACCAGAATACAAGGTGCCATCTTTGCCGAAAAATGACTACTTCAAGAAACCATTACCTTCTCCATCACCACCACCTCCATATTATTAAATTTCATCTTTCATGTTCAATATGTTTCAAGGAAGTCCTCCAGCTCAACATATATAACCCATAGGGTTCTCAACTTCTCATACTATGAGTTGGAAGGCATGATATCAAAATTTGTAATTCTTTATTTTATTTTATTTTTCGTTTCTTTCCTACTTCTAGTTACAATTGTTTTGTCATTTAAATTCTATTTTCAATGTTTCCAGAATTTTTTTTCAATTGAATACAAGTTCTTTTTATTGAAAGTTTATATATATAGATTCACCAATTCTTCCCGCAATTGCCAATTATTTTCTTCTCATAAAGTTAATAGAAAAATAACAAACATCAGTGAGGATTTAATACCCTATAGATATTAAAGAATTTAGTAGCTCTTTAGATCATCAAATTGAGGTTTGAACTGACAAATAAGACATATATAAATCTAAACAAAATTGGTAATTAAGAATCAAAGTGAGAAATATACCTATCTAACTAAATGTATATGTGAAAGACACATTTCTTGCCTCTATCGATTATTTAACGTAAATACTGAATTTCTCGATGTAAACACATATATATAATATAATATAATATAATCTAAACATCGAATTTTTTTTGTGGGGTGGGGGTGGGGGTGGGGGTGGGGGGAGGTAGGTAGATGAAATGAGCAAATCAACTTTGGTGATTCCCAAAATCCAATAGGTACTTTTTGGAAGGTCCGTGTTCCACTCCCTTTGGTAAACATTTAATCTTTCATTTTCATTAAAGGTGACCACAAAAAAAGATTTTTTTTTTCTAGTTATAAAGCAAAGTTTTATGGTAATATATATTCACTTTCTGTAAAGTGATTGAAAAAAAAAATAATAAATAAATAATAATAATAATGTTCATTTCACTTTTTCTAGTTTTTCTTAGTATGAGGATCAAGTAATCTAAACGTCCGAGGAATACTTTTATAAATAAACAAGTTTTGATTAACATTAATGGAGTATTACATAAAATATAGTTTAAAATAATTTAGATTTTTAAAATTACAATCTTTAAAATTTTGACCTTAGTTAAATTTATTATTTTATATTTCCTACGTCGAAATATATTTGTATAGTTATTACTCCCTGTTATTTTACTTGTGTAAATAAATATTAGAATTTTGATTATTATTAATAAAAATAATTTTTTTCATTATGCTAATTTACTTCATTGTAAAACATCATTAGTTCATATATTTAATTAATATTTCTCACTTTTTTCGACACCAAAAAATAATGTTTATGCTTTTATGACAAAATTGTTACATTAGTTCAAAAAAAAAATCATGATTTTTAAAGAAGTAAAAATTAATTGATAATGAAAGGGTATAATAGGCATTTAAAAAAATTGATTAAAATAAAGGAGGGAGTTTGATTACTATTCAAAGTTGAGGGGGAGTTTGATTTTTACAGCAAAGTTGGGGAGCAAAAATGATTTTCATCCATTAATTATATAGCCGCGATGGTTTGGACTACCTTTTAAATATTAACAGGCTTAGGTTTATATGAATTTAGCGGTTGTTTATGTGCATTTAGCAGCCATTATAAATTTTAATGGCAGGTTAATAAAATAAAGTTTATTACGTGAATTTAGCAAGGGTTTAAGAGAATTTACAGACATTTAGATAAAATTAACGACGGTTTATGATAATTAATTAGCGGCATTTTAGGTGAATTCAGTGACTTTGTAGGTGAATTTAATGGCGGTTTAGGTGAATTTAGCGGAATTTGATGGTAATTTAGGTGAATTTAGCGACGGTTAAGTTGAATTTACTAACAGTTTAGACGAATGTAGTCGTGGTTTATCTAAAACTAGATAGTTAAACGAAACATAAAATTAAATAATTGATATTGGAAATAATAGCTTCCAATATATTATAATTGGTGATGCAAATTATGTATAATGTATGGTCCAATGATTTGAATTTTAAGTCGTGCTCAAAGTATCAAAAGTACATATAACTAATGGACCCAACCATCCAAGTAATGAACAATATATATTTCAACTTAAAAAAATTATTTAGTCAAATATTCAATGTACCAACAAAAGAGAACAAGTACAACATTCTTGGAAGTCAATAAAAGATTGTTCATGGCTTCCCATTATATCATGACCTTAGTGGAATAGCATTAACAAAGAAAATGGGAAATTCTCTAATATGTTTGGATTATTTTAAGAGCATTCAAATCATCTTAGTTCAGCTATATTAACTCCTATTTCCTCCAATCTAATATACACAAGAAAAAGAAAAACATAACCATCTAGACTTAGAATTCAAATATTCTCAATGGGTAGCCAAATGAAGAAGCAATGGCCTCAATTTGCTTGTGCTTTGACATTTTTCTTGATTGCCACTTCTACTATGGCATACTCACCTTATTCTTATGAATCAACATATACAACATACAATAAAGTACCAACCACAGTAGCTAAAAGTGAAGAATTCAAGGTACCTTCAGTGCCTAAAAAGGAATATAAGGCGCCATCTTTGTCAAAGAATGACTACTACGAGAAACCATCAGTTCCAGAAGATAACTATAAGAAGGTGCCATATGGTCCAGAGGTACCCTCAGTGCCCTCAGTACCTAAACATGAATACAAGGTGCCTTTTTTGCCAAAGAATGACTACTATAAGAAGCCAGCAGTTCCAGAAGATAGCTATAAGAAGGTGTCATCTGTTCCAGAGGTATCATCAGTGCCTAAACAGGAATACAAAGTACCTTCTTTGCCAAAGAATGATTACTATAAGAAGCCATCAGTTCCAGAAGATAGCTATAAGAAGGTGTCATCTATTCCAGAGGTACCCTCAGTGCCTAAACATGAATACAAAGTGCCTTCCTCGCCAAAGAATGACTACTATAAGAAGCCATTAGTTCCAGAAGATAATTATAAGAAGGTGCCATCAGTTTCAAAAGCTAATGACTACAAGGTACCTTTAGTACCTAAACAAGAATACAAGTTGCCTTCTTTGCCAAAGAATGACTATTATAACAAACCACCGGTTCCAGAAAATAACTACAAGAAGGTGTCATCTGTTCCAGAGGTACACTCAGTGCCTACACAAGAATACAAAGAATCTTCTTTGCAAAAGAATGACTATTATAACAAACCATCGGTTCCAGAAAATAACTACAAGAAGGTGTCATCTGTTCCAGAGGTACACTCAGTGCCTACACAGGAATACAAAGAATCTTCTTTGCCAAAAAATGACTACTATAAGAAGCCATTAGTTTCAGAAGATAACTATAAGAAGGTGTCATCAGGTTCAAAAGATAACGACTACAAGGTACCCTCAGTGCCTAAACAAGAATACAAGTTGCATGCTTTGCCAAAGAATGACTATTACAACAAACCATCAGTTCCAGAAGATAACTACAAGAAGGTGCCGTTTGTTCCAGAGATACCCTCAGTGCCTAAACAATAATACAAGGTGCCATCTTTGCCAAAAAATGACTACTTCAAGAAACCATCACCTTCTCCATCACCACCACCCCCTTACTACCATGAATCATCTTCAACTCCTTCCCCATCACCACCACCTCCATATTATTAAATTTTCATCTTTCAGAAGTTCAACATGTTTCAAGGAAGTCCTTCTTCTGCTCAAAATATATAACCAAAATGGTTCTCATATTATGACTTAAGGCATGATATCTACATTCGTAAACTTTATTTGTTTTTTTTTTTGCCTTCTCCTACCTTAGCTTGGGTTGCAATTGTATTGTCATTTAATTAAATTATACTGTATTTTTAATGTTTACACAAAATTGTACAATTGATTATTGAGAAAAGATTCAAATATGTCATCAAACTTTGAAAATAGGCTCATCTGTGCTGTCCAATAATAGGTTAGCTCATCTATGTCATTTTCGTTTGAAAAAGGCTCATCTGTGTCATTATTTTTCAACTAAAAACAATTCCAAATTTGCAAAATTATTTTTTTTCATGTGGTTAATTATGATTCTGCCATGTCAATAATTAATCATTTTTTTAAAAGGGAAAAGGCTCAACTATGCCATCGAACTTTGACAAAAGGCTCATCTATGTCATCTATTAAAAGTTTGGCTCATTTGTGCCATTTCAGTTAACAAATAATGGCGTTGATGAACCTTTCTCAAATGGAAATGACATAGATGAACCAAACTTCGAACGAATGGTATAAATAAGTCTTTTCTCAAAGTTTAGTAGGATTTTTAAGCCTTTTCCGATCCCTTGATTATTATGTGTTAGAAGGCATGATATCACAGTTCTTTTTATTGAGAGTTTATGTGGTTTCATCTACTCTTCCAGCAATTGTGAATTTGTTTACTTACTGCTGATAACAAAACACTGAACATACAATTCATGGGAGATAAAAGAAATAAAGTGAACCAAGTAGTGAATAATTTTAATCAGATAAAAAGAAGCCGCATATAATGATATTAAAATAGTGTTGCGCTGAATTTGATAAGTTGCTATAATGATATTAAAATAGTGTTTAGTTTTAGTGCTTGAAATTTAAAGAAGACAACAAAAAACAAATTTGATCTTTTATAAACACACAACAATAAAATTTACGTAATGTAGAATGTTTGACTATTCGAAAGACTTTAGAATAATCAATAATAAGAGAATAAAAATAGTGAAAGGGAAATAAAAAAAGTAAATATAAGAATAATAATGTTGATTTATGATAATCGAATATAAATGAGAATAGTCACATAAGAAAATATGCTACAATTAACTAAACACTATTCTATTTCTCAATTATTACAATATTACTTTGTTTACGATAAAATGTAACGGATTTTTCATAACCCCTTCATATATTAAAGCATTTAGAGGCAATACATTTAAGTGCATTTAGCAGCGCTTAATTGAATTACCCTTTGGCTATTAAAGTTTTAGTGGCAATTTATGTTCATTTAGCGGCAGCTATTGGTGCATTCTACGTTTATTTAGGTGTGGGTTTGTATTAGGGCTGTCAATATGGGCTAGGCCCGTTGGGCCTGCATGACTTAACTCATGATTTGATAGAGTTGTGTTAAGATTTTTGGAGTCCATTCAAGAAAAAAGTTTTTTATCCCGACTTGAATAAGTCTGCTAATTTGTGGGGTTTGAGAAATATAGGTAGGACCGGCCTGTGGACCAAATAAAAAATTAATTAAAAAATAAAAATAAAATAAAGTATTAAAAATAACAAGAGTTCAAACTCAAAATCTAATTAAAGTTTTAAATATTAAAAACAAATTATGTTTATAAAATATGTGCTACATAAAATAAATTTTTCCTAAAATTTCTAGGGAATCACTACGTAAGTTGTAGCCTATATTATATTGTCATATTTTTTATGTGTTTTATTATGATCATTAGAAAAAAATTAGGTTAATATTTCTATTTAGCTATTTATATTTTTACTTGAAATCAAACTTAATAAATATTATAAAGATAATTTTATTTGTGGATTTGATTAACAAGTAGCACTAATACCATGTAATTTTGTCTTGCCGATATTTATGATAATATTTTTAAATTATAATTTGATTTAAAAAATTATAAAAAATATCTTTTTAAAAAAAGTGGATTAACACATCACAACCCGTAGCCCACGTACTTGTGGGTTGGGTTGACTGTTTTCAGGCCCACAAAAAAGATGGGCTAGCCCACCCTGTCCCATAAAATTTCAAAGCTTGTATGAGTTAGCTCGAATGGGGTGGGCCTGCCCATATTGACAACTCTAGTTTACATGCACGTCTTTCGCGGCGGTTTAGGTCAATTAATTATGTGAATGTAAGGGTCGTTTAGGTGTATTTAATGGCGATTTATGAATTTAGCGATGGTTTGTAGGATTTAGCGGCACTTTAGGTACATTTTACGTAGGTTTGTCTAATCGCAACACCCCGGTATTCTCTTTTTTTTTAAATCTATTTTGCAGAAGTTTTGGCCTTCAAGTAGAATTCTTTTTTTAAATTATATAAAATATATATTTTAATGCTAGTACTATTAAGATATTATGAGAAAAAATCAAAAATAATCTTTAAGAAGATTTGATTGAGTCAATTATTTGATGGTACGTAAGGTTCGATCCTAGGGAATCGAGTAATCTCTCATAAACAACTTCTCCCATTAAAATGGATCATACATGATGACAAATTTAGACTAATCTGAGTCAATAAATTACGAATAACATAGACTATCAAATCAAATAAACAATTTAAATTTATGTTAGAAGCAATAACTTCCATTTTGTTATAAAATATTATAGTATGGATGTCCATTACACCAAGAAGTTACTCTCACCCATTGTCTCCATTACTTTCCTCCATTATGAAGATAATCATAACCTCCATATAACCATTATTCTCGTAACCTTTCACTTCCATAACCTCCTCCATTATATTCATGTTAATGCCATGTTTATGACTAACCTTTTGTATGCCTCTATGTTACACTCTAAATAGAGGCATAAGGCACTACTAAAAAACTGTCAAAAAGAGATGGGAAAAGTGACGGACTGCGTCGCTTTTTCGGCAAAAAGCGACTGAAACGCGACGTAATCAGTTCCGTCGCTTTTTGGCTCGACGCTTTTCCAAAAGCGACGGACTGCGTCGCTCAAATTTAATTATCATTTTTTAAAAAATTTCAAAAGGCGACGCAGTCTGTCGCTTTTGTGGAAATTTTAATTTTGGAAATCCCAGAATAGCGACGGACAAAAGGACCCTGTCCGTCGCTTTTCTGGGTTTTAATTTTTTAAAATCCTAGAAAAGCGACGGACAAAACCACGTTGTTCGTCGCTTTTCTGGGTTTTTGAAAAAATTAAAACCCAGAAAAGCAACGGACTAAACCACATTGTCCGTCGCTTTTCTGCAATTTTTTTTTTTAAACCCAGAAAAGCAATGGACAAAACCACGTTGTCCGTCGCTTTTCTGGGTTTTTAAAACAATTAAAACCCAGAAAAGCGACGGACTAAACCACGCAATCTGTCGCTTTTTCTGCAAAAAAATTTACAACAGAAATTGGCAGTTTATGCTGCCCACCTGCAAATGCAATTCAATTCATTACTACATTATTCAACCCAATCAAACACACACAATTATAAACAATCTAAACAAAACATAAAACAACAAATTTAAAATAACATTCAAAAGTATCTAAATCACAAATTAAAGACTTATAAAGTCTTTCAAAATTCGTTTCAAAATTTCAAAAAGTTCATAAAAGTCCAGAGATCTAAACTAGGGAGTGGGATCTACATAATCATCCTCATCACTCTCGTCATCGGTGTCATCGGGAGCCGAAGTAGTACGTCGATGAGTGAGGTTCATCACTTGTTCTTTGGTTTGTTGAACGGTCTCACTCATGCTTTCTTGTTCAGCTACTCTTCTCTGCTCCAACTCTGCTAGTACCGCTGTAAGCTTAGCTATTTGATCCGACATAACAGCAATCTGAACACCGTCAAGTGCTCGGCTTGACGTGACGATCCAATACCTTCTAAGCTTGACTGGAGTCGTCTAACATCATTTCGAGAGCCTAGACCATAGCATCTACCCTTGTGTGTCCCCCCCAACTACTTTTTCTTTTCAAATCTGGGTGGAGAGTTCAGGTGTCAATTGGACCAAACTATCTAGATTCTCAGCGACATACTGATGAAAGTCATTCTGCATATTAAATATAAAATTTACATCAATATATATACATATCATAAATATATTCACTATTAATATATATTATTCATATTAAATAACTTACAAAAGTTCGTTCGGCCCTTTCCTCCACCCACACATTCGGATCCGACTCATTTTATTTCTTCCTGAGTCTTCTTGAAAACCTCTGGTTCAATGGGAGTGCGTCCCAATTCTTTTTCCTATAAATAAAAATTGAAATTTATAACGATATATATGAATTAACTAATTATTTATTTAAAAGTTTGAATTAGAACTTACCATCTCTCGTGAAATTGTTCCAACCGTCTTTGCACCTCCGGTGTGCAACGAGCCACCTTTAAGACTGCCTCTAGCCTTTTTGGCTTGATCTGATATTGCCTTAAACTTGTCTATGTTCCAATATTGACCCAATTCATCAAAAGCATGAGGCAACATCCAACCGGGACGTTCACCACTATCTCGAACTTTCTTTAGCTAGCTAGACAGTCTGGCGGATGCCTTCCTCTCAAATGTGGTCCCAATGACCAAATTGTACCTCGACTCCCAAGTACACATAGTCTGGAAAAAAATTGAATAACGTTAATTTGATCGATAGTAAAAAAAAGTAAAGTATACTAAACTTAACTAAAAAATATATATCTTAAAGTTATTAAACATCGCCTGACGTATACTGTTTGGAATCTTGCTCCACGAGTGATAAGCCTGTGTTTAGAGTCTTCTAACACAGTCTTTTAAAGCCCGGGCAACATCCTTTGCAGGATGCCACCTGCAAAACACATAA